TTCAACAAAAATTGAATATATGGGGTTCTTTGATATGCTGAATCTAACCATGTATTTAGATTTTTTATTTGTGGACCCCGTTATCTAATTGGTTCATATTGAGGTCAAAAGGGTCCAAAATTAAACTTTGTTTGATTTCATCTAAAATTGAATTATTGGGGTTCTTTGATATTCCAAATCTAACAGTGTATTTAGGTTTTTAATTTTGGGTCCTGTTTTTTAAATTGGTCTACATTGAGGTCCAAAGGGTCCAAAATTAAACTTAGTTTGATTTTAACAAAAATTGAATTCTTGGGGTTCTTTGATTTGCTGAATCTAAACATGTGTTTAGATTTTTGATTATGGGCCCAGTTTTCAAGTTGGTCCAAGATAGGGTCCAGTATTTAAACTTTGTTTGATTTCAACAAAAATTGAATATATGGGGTTCTTTGATATGCTGAATCTAAACATGTATTTAGATTTTTGATTATGGGCCCAGTTTTCAAGTTGGTCCAAATTGGGGTCCAAAATTAAACTTTGTTTGATTTCAACAAAAATTGAATATATGAGGTTCTTTGATATGCTGAATCTAACCATGAATTTAGATTTTTTATTTGTGGGCCCCGCTATCAAATTGGTTCATATTGAGGTCAAAAGGGTCCAAAATTAAACTTTGTTTGATTTCATCAAAAATTGAATTATTGGGGTTCTTAAATATTCCAAATCTAACCGTGTATTTAGATTTTTAATTTTAAGTCCCGTTTTTTAAATTGGTCTACATTAAGGTCCAAAGGGTCCAAAATTAAACTTAGTTTGATTTTAGCAAAAATTGAATTCTTGGGGTTCTTTGATATACTGAATCTAAACATGTGTTTAGATTTTTGATTATGGGCCCAGTTTTCAAGTTTGTCCAAGTTGGGGTCCAAAATTAAACTTTGTTTGATTTTAACAAAAATTGAATATATGGGGTTCTTTGATATGCTGAATCTAACCATGTATTTTGATTTTGGACATTGGACCATAATAGATAAATTAAAAAAATTCAAGTTCTTAGACCACATTCTTTCTGTGTCAGAAACCTATGCTGTGTCAAATATTTAATAACAATCCAAATTCAGAGCTGTATCAAGCTTGAATGTTGTGTCCATACTTGCCCCAACTGTTCAGGGTTCGACCTCTGCGGTCGTATCAAGCTGCGCCCCAGCGAAGCATTTTATTCACAATTTAAGCAGAGCTGAATTTCACACCTTTGAATGAGAAATTTTGACCTTGTTTCTGGCCCACATTATTGTCCTCTTCACTTTCAGAGTTTCTTTCGAGTTTTACTCCTTTAACTTACAAATTTAAAAACCATGCATTAGTGTGGCTCATAATATAATGATGTTTATATTCAGAGGGTTTTCTGTATTGAGAATTTTCAAGAGAAGAGCATTCTATCCTCACTTAGCTGTCAGTTCTAACTAGAAATACTATCATCTATCTGATTTTCACAAGTTTAGAATTTAGTAGTTCAGCAAAATTTACCTGCATTCATGCATTTTTAAAATTGAACCTGAAATTGAGAATCATTTGCTTTCCTATTTGTATTGGTTATTTAGACTGCATAAAAAATCAATATTCTGCTTTCTGACATATAGTCCTTTTTGTTACGAAATTAATCTTCTCCATCTAAACTTTATGTTCAACATAAGACCAGATTATCCTATGAACATCAAGATATCACCATCTGGCCACACAAGGCTAAACAAATTGAACATGATCACTAAACTTAATCATTTTCATCTTTTGGATGGTTTTAATTTGATATTTTCTTTGGTGAAGTTGCATTGTAAATCTTTTAATGCACATTAACATATCACAAAGTGCAACTTTTCATACTGGTAGTATGCCAGCTGTTGACCTAATGTGAGATTAATATAATCCATTATCAAAATATCTGGATAGGGATGTCAACCAAGCAGAAAAGGACATCCTATCCTTTTATATTATTTTTGTAATAAAAAATTAAATGTACAACTATTTACAGTAAAGAGCGCATTATACACCAATCTTGAAATTGTTGCCAGAATAAAATGGAATATTAAAAAGGCATCTTATTAGAAGTAAGTAAAATTGTTTGATGATACCCTTTGGTTGATGAATATTTCTTTCCTTTCAATATGACTTAAAAAGTCCCATTTCCTTGGAATGAAAAAGCAATCCTACATTCACCAATCCCAATATCAGTGTAAAGTTAGATCTAAGCATACTAGAGGTGGTGCACGACATGTAAACATTTGCTATTAATCTGAAGGTTAAAGTCCCATAACTCTGGAATGACAGATAAATTAATTTTGTTGAGGTATCTTTCTGAAGTTTTCAGTAAATTGATCCAAGCATATTCAAGTTGTGAACATTTTACTAAAATCTGAAGTTAAAAAGTCTCACAACTCTGGAAGATACTAACAGAAAATTTTCAAAACAATAGGGAATTGCATCTTATCAATCTTAACAATAGTGTTGTTTTAAGAAAATCAATTAAAGCATACTGGAGTGAGTGTGCAATAGTAAGCTTAAATCAGAAAAAAGTTTATTTATTGCACAACATTGGAGAAAAGCTCCAATTTTCCATGTATAAAGTCACATAATTCTGGAAGGACAATACTGGGAATCCTTAATATTGAAAGAGCTTCCTTCAGTCAATTATGTTTTAAATTTTTATGAGAATTGGTAAATTTTATTTTTTTGCTGATTGTTGAGGTGTAATACCACCAAATCATAGTACGTCACATCCGGTTGCATACGAAAATAGGTCGAAAAAAAATATTCCCTTGAATTTGACAGTTGTAGGTAATTGATCCTACATTTCATTGCAGTAAAACATTTCTGGGTCATAAACATATATCTTGGGTATTTCAAAGCACCATTATTTTTTTATTTGGGGTTTCTATAGAATATTTTGGAAACTTGAGGTTACATGGTTACTAAAGCTTGTATACAGGTTAAAAAGGGGGAAAAATTTGATTGGTTAACTTCCAGTGATGGTTATTTTCTTATATGCAATGAAATGTTATGTGAAATTTTTTCTATAGTACTGGACAGGATCAAACTTCACTCATGCCAAGTATTTCTTTATTTGAAACAAAGATAAATTCTGCACAATTTTTTGAAAAGTGCAAATTTAACAAAGACTAATAGGGGAAAATCAATGGTGGTATTACACCTAATATGGGAAGCTGTACATGCACCTTTGACCTTGTGAGTACTCTCATGTGTTAAAATTTCTTGCTATTTAAGTGAAATATTACTAATAATGAAATATTCTGAGTGGATTGAGTCTCCAAAACACATTTTATGAGAAAATTTCCTTGAAATAGGACTTTACCATGAATATTAGTTGACAGAATAAGCCATACTTAGAGTTTTGGGGAGCTTTTTCTCCTTTTTTCTTATATTCTGCTATACAAAAAAATTTTTCCTAAGAAATACTTTAATAAATATATAGTTTTAAGTAAATGAAATTATTTTTAAAGCAGTAACAACAAATTATTCACCAAAAGAGAAGCCTTTTATGTCCCTCTCTGGAACGCGGCGTAAATTTAAGTTTCACGTAAGGACTTATTAAAACCTCCTTGGAGACAGTAAATTTTTATACGGATAGTTCATTAAGCTTGAATACTTCAATTAATCATTTATTATAACATTTCTATCATAAATGAGTGAAAGTTACCCCAAAATTTTTATTTATTGGCCTATAAAGTAGAAATTTTGAGGAAATGAGAGGTATAAATGGACCAAAAGAGACCTTATAAGGAAGACAAAGAGGTCCATTAGTAGTATTTATCATCCTAAAGTCATCTTTTGTATCATATTCAACTGTTTGTAGGCAGATGAGATAAATATTTGATCATTTATTGGTCCACACTATATTCTATCATGATGCGGCTTGGTTTGGATTTTTCGAAGAAATTTAGCTCGAATCGCTGTAGATGTCGTCTTACATTATACTAGATTTTTCTCAAACTATTGAACTGATTATGACAAAACTTGACAGGAATGCTTGAAATAACCAGTATAACAAAGGAAAAAAGTCACATTCAGTTTATTTAACAAAAAAGTCTTCTTTAGGTGTAATACCACCAAATCATAGTACGTCACATCCGGTTGCATACGAAAATAGGTCGAAAAAAAATATTCCCTTGAATTTGACAGTTGTAGGTAATTGATCCTACATTTCATTGCAGTAAAACATTTCTGGGTCATAAACATATATCTTGGGTATTTCAAAGCACCATTATTTTTTTATTTGGGGTTTCTATAGAATGTTTTGGAAACTTGAGGTTACATGGTTACTAAAGCTTGTATACAGGTTAAAAAGGGGGAAAAATTTGATTGGTTAACTTCCAGTGATGGTTATTTTCTTATATGCAATGAAATGTTATGTGAAATTTTTTCTATAGTACTGGACAGAATCAAACTTCACTCATGCCAAGTATTTCTTTATTTGAAACAAAGATAAATTCTGCACAATTTTTTGAAAAGTGCAAATTTAACAAAGACTAATAGGGGAAAATCAATGGTGGTATTACACCTTGACATATCGACAGATTTACTACGGTATACTATAATGTATACCATAATTAAAGCCGTCTAAGAGGGAGTGTATAGATTGATGGTGTTTATGAAATTTTAAGCGATCCATCCTAGCAATCATTTTTAGCAACTAAACATTACAAACAACCGAAACCAAATTAATGGTAATTTTCAATATAGCCCCCTTGGCTATGTATACAAAATTTGAGCTATCATACCAAGTGTTGACATAGACAAACTGACTACAGTATACCATAATATGTCCTGTCTAAGACAGTGGTATATACATGGTTGGTGTATTGAAATTTAAAATAACCCATCCTGGCAATCATTTTGAACAGAAACCAAATTAATGGCAACTTTCAATAAGGCCCACTAAGCCATGTGTTCAAAATTATGCTAAATGTTTTTTCTAAAAAAAAAAAAAAAAAAGGAAAGAAAAGACAAAAGACTATTAAGAATTTATTATTTTATGTCTTTCCTTGAACACATTTTGATACTTGGAACCATCTACAGTCACAACAAAACATGGTGTTCCACCATGAACAAAATGTCTGAAAAAAAAGAAAAATATTTATTAACTATGATGCAAAATTTGAGGTAAATTATAAAATTGCTAAATTATGTGCTAGATTGACAGAATGTTTTTGTCTGTTTTTTTTTTTTAAATTTAACCATGTTCTGCTAGCAAAAATGTTGAGGAAATATGACTGCAGTGGAAAAACTTTGATATCAATATTTGACTTTTAGAACCTTAACTTTGATGACTATGTTAAACCATGTCCATATTCTGTTAAAACTAGTCTTGTCAAAGTAGAAAATCTCACACTGTGATTTATTTATGTGATGTGAATATTTTTCAAGGTTGTACAGTCAGTTAAGTTTTCACTTGTTTTTTCACACTTTAGACTTTAGTTAAGAGTCACACAGGTCTTTTCTCTCAATATTTATACTTTTTAATAGGTCATTCCATATTTTGCTCTAGATGATGTCATTTGATCATTAAGAAGCTTCTGTCCAAGTTTTCTGAGATTATGACTGTTTAAGTAAAACTTTAACTTTAGACTGTATTTATGTTAACAAACTGCCAAAAAACAACAGGTTTACAAGTCCATTTACTACTGTAGTAAAATATGGAAAAATAAAAATAATTATTTTCAAAATTTTGTTCTTGATACTATATTTTGTTCATAAAGAAGCTTCTGTCAAACCATGGTAGTTTAATAAAATTATTGAAGTCTAAAAAATTTTAACCAGACTGAACCTAAATGTTGATGACTCTGATGAAGGAAAGTAGGATCATTATGTTTGGCTTCAGAGACTTTCATTGCAGGTTTCACAAAAATGTAATAAGACGACCATTACAATTAAAATGGAAGATTATATATATAATTGATAATAAGAAAGTGAACATTTATGAAATAAAACTATTAGCAAATTCTTTTTACCTTTTATGTTGTAAAACTTTTAATAATGTTGACTTTTGGTTCACTTTGTACATAACTTCATTTTCTCTGTCTTCAAAATAAACCTGAAAAAGTAAACAGGATTCATTTCAGTATTTACTAGTACTATACTTTGTAATGACTTAAATACACCAAACTAATTGATCCTGTGGATATATTTATTTTGTTGGTACCAATTTTCATTTTTGGTTTGAGGAAAAAAAATGTATTCTTGGTTATAAAGGTTTTCAGGAAAGGAAATTTGAAAATCAAAGATTTTTTCAACCGATTATTAAATAAATGGGGAATGTGTCCATGGGACACAGATGATGCCCCTGCTTGCATATCATATAAAGTTATAAAGGGACATAACTGAAGAACGGTGAAAGTAACGCTACCCAAATTTGTACTTGATCTGTGTTTTGTGGTAATAAGCATTGTGTATAAGTTTTATAACATTTGGTTGAGGCTATCTTAAGTTAGAGAACAGACACCAAAATTCAATCTTGATCTGTGTTTTGTGGTAATAAGCATTGTGTATAAGTTTTATAACTTTTGGTTGAGGCAAACTAAAGTAAGAGAACGGAAACGGAAAATTCAGCAATTTTTCCATTTGTAAAGGGACATAACTCTAGAACGGTTAAAGTGACGCCACCAAAATTCAAAATTGATCTGTGTTTTGTGGTAATAAGCATTTTGTTTAAGTTTCATCACATTTGGTTGAGGCAAACTAAAGTTAGAGAACGGAAACCAACTTTGGGACTTACGTACGTACATACCAACGGACGGACAAGGGTAAAACTTAATGCCCGCTACGGTGAGGGCATAAAAATTTTCAAAAATTATACAAACACTACCTTACTTTAGTTTTACAAGTTTATAGATGATGAAAATTTTACATTTGCATGTGTATGTCTGATGTATAAGATTAATTAGCACTGACAATCATGTTGAATTTTCAGTTTGAATTCTGGTTTCTGAGAAGCTGCTATAAAGCTGCTATATAAATGAATTTGAGTAATAATGGTTATTTTAAAGGAACCAATTGATGCAATTTATCAATCATTGACAATGTGTAAATTTTTTGGTTTTCATGATATATTTACCAATGATATTCATGCTTACATACAACATTGTAATTATTATGTTTTAAAATATTTCATACTATTAATTCTGTAATTAAATTTAAACCTTTCTTTTATTTTACAAAGGAAGAAACACATGCATATATTACATTGCCTTAATAAATTGACCTACCAGCAATTTGTCTGTGGTATATTTCCTGTCAGTATCCCATTGTGGATGTTCAAATCCATCACTAAACATCATCTGTAAATGTTCTTCAAACCTAGAATTCATATAACAAGCAATGTGAGTTAAAAATACAGTAAACATTTCCTGTGAAAACAAAAGATATATAATGGTAAGTAAATAACACTAACAACAACTGGACTGGGTCAAGTGACATAAAAACTGCAAAAATCCTTGAATGATATAAAAAGAAGGAGATGTGATATGATTGCCATTGAGTCAACTTTCCATTTGTTCCACCTTCAACAATGTGCAAAACCCATACCATATACTGTATAGATGTCATTCTACTATGACTTGCTGCTTTTAGCATGTAAACATAACTTTTCTCGAAATGGCAAACACACACTTTTGACACATGCACACAACTTTTTAAGTTCTTGTGCATATTATGGCCATTAATAAACCTTCCGGTTAATATATAATATATATACATACACTGTTTACAGCATATTTATCAAAGTAAACCAAGTCTCCACTGGTAAACATTGGTTTGAAGATTAGCAATAACGACTTATAATAATTAAAAGGCTCACTTGGTTTGTTTATAGAAGATGACTAAAATGTTAAAACTTGACAGACAAAAAAAAAACATATAATAGTTGCCAAATTCAGGTAACAACTTACGTATGTGTCTCATTAAAAGCCTCAACATAATCTGTCATAGTATGTTCTGGATACATAAATAATACAGGCCAGTTAAGTGTTCCATCTGAGGTCACATGTACCTTAGCACCACTAGGGTTCTGAGTTTCTAAATTTGTCAGCAATGAAGGATGTAAACCAGTATTTTTGTTCGTCTTCATGCTTGCTAACTGTACGCCTTTACTCTGCAAATTAATAATTCATTGTCTGGTCATTTAATAAAACCACATGTAAAATCAGGCCAGGGATTCTAATTACCTCAGTTATTCAAATATAGATAAAAAATGATTTGTTTCATGAGAATTGTCAGGACTTGACAAATGAAATATTTGCCTTGTTAAAGTATAAAAATAAGAGGATGTGGTATGATTGCCAATGAGACAACTCTCCAAAGACCAAATTTTTTAAAGGTTTTAATCTACCAGTAGTTGCCATTATTATTCTTGTATGTGGAAAGTATGTGTTATTTGTAAATGATTATTGACGTTTAAAGTATTCATAAACTGAATTACAATAATTAATGCATTACAAATGAAAGGTGGTTCACCTGTATCACTGCAAGGATTTTTTCTTCTTCCTTTCTTTCTTTTCTTTCAGCTGCTTCCTCTTTTCGTTTGTCTCTCTCTAGTGATTTCTATAGATACACAAATGCTTTAATTATTCGGATCAATTCCTTTTAATAAAATATGCATGCAATATGATGTATGTAGCAAACTATCATTAATACATGTATAAGCTAAATTCAAAAGTAAAAAGTTGATTTCAGTTCATACTGATAAAAAAATGTCTAGTAAAAGCCTTTTGTATGTCATACAATGTGTAAATAAAAGATTTATTAATCTTACAGAATGTTTACTAGAAATTTTCTTTATATCCAAACAATAAGCATGTGAGAATATTTAATTCATGTGTATGTGTAAATATTTCCAAAGACTCAGAACCATATAGCTTGTCTGTGACAACAGCTGTCAGTGCAAAAGTGTGAAGTTGACTGCCAAAAAACTAAGTCTATTTACCTACTGCTATTTATCGGTAAGATACAGAAAATGAATATAGAAAATCTAAGTTTTATCTCTTGTTTATAACGAAGCCTCTGTCCAAGTTTTGTAAAATTCCATGAAGATTTGACAAAGTTATTTAAGTTTTAAAATGTTAAACCACAGACTGTACATTAAAAAAGTCCAGTGATCAGTCAAATACTGCAAAATGGGGGAGAAAATCAAAAGTTAAATTAGTCAGTCTCTCTCAGTTATGAAAAAGCGTCTTTAAAATTTTACTAAAATACCTTGAAATCTTGAAAACGTTAATGATGTTTTCAAAACTATAACTATTGACTTTAAATATTAACTTCAAAAATCTATGTCCATTTATCAGCAAAATACAGAAAGATAAAAAAAAAATCAAAATTTTCCTTCAGATGCTATTATTTGATCATGAGAAACCTTCTGTCCAGTTTTCCTAAAATTCAATGAAGGTTTGACAAAGTTATTCTTATAAAAAGAAATGACAACTGACTGAACATAAACGTTGACGATACCTATGACAACACAATTATGTAATCTAGCCTTCTTCCATTGATCAAAAGGCAGTAATAGATGTACAAAATAAATATTGAACTATGTCCCCTACATCCCCTATTCACAATCATTGTTGTAAAAATATGTTGTCCCATGACATACTTATTTAAACACTTTAGTTATTTATAATTATTCTTCAACTTCTAAATTAAACAACACGAACAACAATATGTTTACCTTTAAATTTTCAGCCTTGTACTTCATCTGTAACAATTCTTCATTTTCATTTTCTATTTAATTCCAGTTAAGGAAAAGTTCTTTAGACAGATATTTATGTGTCATGTGGATTATTGTATCAGAAAAGCATTTTCACAAAAGCTGATCAATAATTCACTGATCTCCAGTTTAAATCAGTACGTCAAATTAAAAAAAAAAAAAATCAAGATTTCTTACAATCTTTCCAATTTGAACATTTAATGCCAATCATTTGAATGAGAAAAATAATATTCTTAAAATGCTTATCATTAAATTATTTTTTATATCTATATCTATATCTTTAAAAATATTTTGATATTCTAATTTGTTTATCGCTTGGGTATAAGATGCTCTCTAATTTATATTCTACAAATATCAACTCATTTGTATATTTTACTGGATCTTATGTTCATCTATACCACACAAATCTCATTTTTACATACAACCCCTCCAATAGGATATCAATAAACCTGTATCACACCATTTACTAGCCTCATCATATCTTTTTAACTGTAAACAACATGTAGCACCTGTAAATGTGAAAAACAGTTCTTCAGTTATTCAAATTTTTGGTACAAGATTTACTTCATAGATGTTCTTTTAAAGACAAAATCTACATGATTGCTTTGCTGTATCATAAATGACTCAGTCACAAGGTGTGAGTATGCTACAATACACTAAGGATAGTCAAACTTCTGCAAGAATTGTCAAATCAAAATGACAGACAAAGTATTTTCAACTACACATGATGAAAAACAATCCTTCCAAGTCTTAAGGCTTTCTGTTGAACAATCTCAGAGGAGTTACATTCAGAAGTAGTCATTGTATTACACAGGTAATAAATAATGGTCAAAGTCCATTAACTCTTGCAAAAATTGTCAAAAAAATATGATGGACTGGGCCTGGACAACAAATATCCTGTAAGCTGAAATGTGACTTAAATCTGTTCACAAAATAAAAAAAATCACAAAATTAAATAAAAAATATTAATTCATTTTATCAAAGTATAAGGCCAAATAGAATTTTCCTTGGGTCAATTGAATTCCAGATTATCTAAATATAATTCAGAAATCTGATTTTAAAAGCTCTCATTTATACAAGAAGAATTCTTGTTTTCCACTAGAAATTAACAACATCTAGTTCTAACCTAAACAGGAATTTACCATTTCAAAATCTAAAGCATTGTGGGTTATTCAATTGTTTGTATACCAAAATGAGCAATTCCTTTACCCAATAGATCTGATATCCATTTTTTGGAACAAAACAATCTTAATCAATCACAACATTTTAGTAAAAGCTTTTGAAATATTACCAAATATTGTTTTAGATTCTGAAAAAGTGAATTCTCATTAGTTTTTGAAATTTATTCTTATTTTTTATTGATGCTAAGCATTCTAGCAATAATTTTGAAACAATATATTATTATTAACTGCAATCAAGTAACCTTTAATTACTACTTGACAAGTACAATTACCAGTAAATAAAAAAATGGGGAAACTGCCTTAAAATATGCATCAGATATGCCTATGAATATAAAGATATTTTGGACATTGTGAAATACTTCCAATTTTTTAATAGTTTCATGACAGTAGAAATATACTACAAAGAATTGTTATCTACAGGTTTATTAATGTTATCCTCTATTCAGTGGTTGTTGCAGGTTGCTAACAGCCATATTTGATTTTTGTTGATTGTTGTATTATAGTTAGGCCATTAGTTTTCTCTGTTGATTGTTGTATTATATTTAGGCCATTAGTTTTCTCTGTTGATTGTTGTATTATATAGTTAGGCCATTGGTTTTCTCTGTTGATTGTTGTATTATAGTTAGGCCATGGGTTTTCTCTGTTGATTGTTGTATTATAGTTAGGCCATGGGTTTTTTCTGTTGATTGTTGTGTTATAGTTAGGCTATTGGTTTTCTCTGTTGATTGTTCTATTATAGTTAGGCCATTGGTTTTCTCTGTTGATTGTTCTATTATAGTTAGGCCATTGGTTTTCTCTGTTGAATTGTTTTACTTTTTGTCGTACTTAGGCCTTTTTTAGCTTACTGTACAGTATTGGTTTTACTCATTGTTGAATGTTGTACGGTGACCTGTAATTGTTCACATCATGGCCTTTGGTCTAGGTATAGTTGTCTCATTGGCAATAATAACACATCTCTTCATTTTTTTATTCTATGCAACATAACTTGACAATAATAATACAAAATCATACCCCTTAAAATAGCTTTCATATGATCTGACTTGAATTTTCTGGCAAATATACAGTCATGTAGGGAGGATCTGTAATTTCCTGAAAAATGAGTATAAAAGAAATTATAAGTTATCATAAAACCAAACCATTTGTTATTCAAGTAATATTAATTATGGTATTCATAGACTACAAAAATTAAGGATTAGCTCTGAGCTGTATGGTAATTTCATACTTGTCTATATGCCACTACCGGTTGTAGTGTCGCAATTTGAGTTTTTCAGCAGTTGGTGAACAGAAATTTGTGACTGTAAAATATGAGATTGATGTCTTCAAGTACAATGTAGTAAATTAAACACATTATATCTATTCCTTTTTAAATGCAAGTGCTAACCGTGCATTTTAAATAAATATTAGGACAAACAAAAAAGAATCAACACTGAGACAAGAAGCCAGTTAATAAGTCAAACTCTATATCTTAGCATTTAAATTATGTATAAATTCAACAGGATTTACCAAATATCTCCCATCCCTTTCCCAAGCGGTTGTGAAGCTGGCTTACAAAATTTTAGTTTGCGATGTAAGAAATTAAATGGTTTAAATTTTGAAACATTTTGCCCTTCAAAATAACAACCCATGATGGTATGATTATACTTAATTAAGTTTTAATTTTAATATGCAGACAAAGAACTTAATGGTGATACAAAACATTTAAAATCAAGAGCTTCATCTTCATTTTCCCTTCATTAAATACCTCATGAAATTATTAATATTTCATGTGTCATCTGTGGACAAATATTTTGCTGTTTACATTCAATTTAGAAGAGAACAAACATAATTTTCTGCACTATGTCAGTAAAATAGTCAAGTCATTGTAAATCAAACATCAAAGTTGTTGACCAAAAATACATGTAATATGCCAATCTGATTGTTATACAAAAAAAGTGATTGACCTAGAAACCTATTTTGATGCATAATAAAAACATAAGATTTCAACATTTGATTCATTATTTCAAACTGAAATAGATTTTTCCCTACCAAAATTACTTTTAATTAGAACTTTGACACATTGGAGTAAATTTATGTTTATTGATCTTTGAGGAGACTTCGAAATAAACACGAGATAAACAAGATTTCGAATCAATAAAGTACAACTCATCAGAGTTAGAAATGCCTTGAACAAACAGGAAATGTGCCAGGACTTACAAAATACCTCGACTTATCCAGTTTTTGGACACAATTGAGTTCAACACAAGAAGATTGGACTGTATCCTGGATTAAAAAGCCAGAGTGACTTCCGAACATTTCTTAAATGTCATTTCTAACCCCAAAGGTCAAGTCACTGTAAATGTAATAATCAATTGACACTTGTAATCCCAAAGTTAATCAAACTGACAAAAATACTTTTAGATAAAATTTTGAGGATAACTATAATTTATTGTACCGGTAATTAAAAGACTTTCCATACCTCTATGAAATTGTGCAGCTGCACGATTTGTATATAATACAGCATTCAGCAATTTATCAGGACATCTACATTTAATTCCTTCTGTGTAATTGTCTATAGCTATATCATATTTTTTCTTTTTAAACTCATGGTTACCATCCAATTTATATGCTTCTGCACCAGCTTAAATGACAAAACTTATAAACATTACACAAGGCACATCATAATGTATAAACAGCTGAAAAAAATATAATCAAAGAAAACATTCTGATAATAAAAGAAGAATGTGTCTGAGGACACAAATGCCTCCGATCAAGCTTTGCAATTTTCCAAGTTATAAAGGGGCATAACTCTAGAATGGTAGGAGACTCACTACCAAATTCAAACTCTGTCTGCAAGTTTTGGTTCTTAGCATTGTGTATGAGTTTTTTTTTTAATTTGCACGAGGCAAACTTAAGTTCGAGTGCAGAATGTAAAAAAGGATGGACGGACGGAGACGGTCAAGAGTAACACTTAATGCCCCAGTTGCCTACGCCTGGGGCATAAAAATAAAAACCTAGACCAATTGATGAAAAAGACATTTTTTTTTAAATTTTGGACAAAGAAGATAAAAATTTGTGTACACCTAGAATTTGCTGTCAATCCCTCCACCATAATTTAAGCAACAGGATGCCATGAATAGATGTACCAAAATGCAATCTATTCACTATCAATATCTTCAAAATCAATTCTCCTTTATTGTAAACAATGATATTTTCTCATTCATGCAATGCTTAATAAGGTGATCTTATTTGACAACAAAAGAATGTTCGATATTTTGGGGTGTTGAAGAGTTGAAATCAAATTAATTCTAATTATACAATGATAAACTTGATAAACGTCGATATTAAACCTGTTGGGTTTTCATCCTCGTATTTGAGTTTCATCAAAGCTTCTAATTCTGGTGTTAATGGTTTACTCCAATCTACTTCTGTCATGAAAGCTGGATGATTTGCTAGGTCCTATAACAAATATTATAGATAAACTTTTAGTGACTTTCACATAATCAAAAACTTAATTAATAAGAATTATATAACTGTTTAGTTTTGAATATTTCTTAATTCTATTTTTATATTTTATCATTGATTCTATTTAATCTATTTAAATCATTCAAAAAAATGTTTTATCTTTATATGCAAAATCCTGGATACCCTGGGGCATGACCATGATTGATTTTGAAGAAGTAGTTAAATACTTATTGACCCTCAGACTGATGGGATGCTTAAAGGTTACAATTGTGTGTCAAAGATGGGACCCAAGGAAGTAACTTTATACTCTAGATGCTTTCATTTCAAGAAAACAATCCTTGCTACTGTAGTGTAGATTTAGTGGATGCCTCACTTCCTTGCCTTGTGTTTTTCATTGCAAAAGATTTGTCCCATCCTTTCTAAAAATATTTTTTTTTGGTAGAATTCAATTTAAAGAAACAGTAAACAGTAAGTAGGTGTCTGACAGATCTGAAAAGTGTTCTTCGAATGTTACAACTCATCACTGATCAAGCTGCTGACTGAACATGCATCCATTCTGTTTAGAAGGTAATGGGAAAAGTGTGACAGACATATTTGTTGGAAAAATTGGTGGACAAATTAATTTACAAGGTAATTACAACATAGCTCCACCTCTTACATGTCATTAGAGTGAGAATATAATTTTTCATTCATTCAGTTAAAAAATTCTGTAGAATACAACAGAAAAATAGCTCAGACATTTTGCAGAAGTCAATTTGGTAAATTCATAATAAACTAGTCCCTCTGAGCCTATATAACATCTTGGAATGTCAAAATTTAAAATTAGCTCCTTTACATTTAAAGATTGGAAAAGAATGGTATAATTATAAGGATTGAAAGCAAGTGAAAAGTAAATTTTTGCACAATACAATCTTTCATTTCTTTAAAATATATTTTTTTTTGCTGAATCCCAAAAACTAAAACTATAGTAAAAAAATTTAAACTGTTATTCATGTAAGAATTTTGAAATAAACAGCTGCGCCATGAGCCCATGATACGCCCGTCGTCTTGTGTGTGAATTTTTATGCAATAAGCATAAATAGTTTCTGACATACGGCGTGACATGCGAAAAGCCCCCTTTTTTTTTTACAAAAAACTCAATATCTATAAAATAAAATTTTGAATCAAAACCAAAAAGTATACAGATCTTTAGATTAATATAACTAAGAAGTGTGTAAAATTTTAAGCAATAATCATAAATCATTTTTGAGATATGGTGCAACATGTGAAAAACTCCTCCCCCTTTTTTTACAAAATACTCAATAACTCAAAAATAAAATTTTGAATCATCACCAAAAGGTATACAGATCTTAAGGTTAATATAACTAAGAAGTGTGTAAAGTTTTAAGCAATAATCATAAACTGTTTTTGAGATACGGCGCGACATGTGAAAAAAAACACACACCTGTTTTAGTTACTAAGTCCTGTAACTCAAAAAAATTTAATCTTATTTTCACCAAAAAGTATACAGATCGTTTGACCATCATAAGAAACAACCATATTAAGTTTCATGAAATTTGGATAAGTCATTCTCAAGTTGCGGTGCAACATGTTTACGCCGGACAGACAGACGGATAGACAGACGGACGCCAGACATTTGTATAACATAATATGTCCCGTCAAAAATTTGACGGGTGTATAAAAACTACATAGTCATGATTAGTCTACATTCAATAACTGTTATTAGTTATTCTCATTTATTGTAACTATTTTATTGAAATAAATACTACATTATTCACTTTCAACAAATATTCTTCGAAGATGGGTCCTATTTGCAGAATCTCTGTACAAAAAGTATATGTGCACTGACTCGACTAACATCTAACATACTTCTATATTTAAGTCACTCTCTTTTTCTCCTTCTTTCTCATTTTTCTCCTTTTGTTTGGCTATACAATCTGCAACATATTCTTCCAATTCAGCATCTAATTTCTTTGCCAATTCTGCTCTTTCTTCATTTGTCCATACTTTCTTCTTTGGCATTCTCTGAAAAAAAATATATTCAGGATACTTTAAGGATGAAAGATTTTATCTTTCTGAAACAGAAAATGCATTTAACTTGAGGGTACCCAAATTGCAGCTATTTTGACAATTTTATCACCTATGTTTATTTATGATCCAGACAAAAGTTTCCTTTCTATGTTTATTTTGTAGATGTATCTTTATTTACTATATAGTTCACCAATTTAATTTTGAATCCATATTGAATCATACAAAAACGGGTTTTGAACCGACCTCCAAAGACCTATGATTCTGTAATGAGGAGTACCTAAATTGCATCCATGCTTAAATTCACATACGTGAAAATCGAATAACTGATGTTTCGTTTTATTTTCTTCCAATGTTTATATCAATTTGACAATTGTCCATGCTTACAGTTAAAATAAAATAAATGTGGATAGTGTCCACATGTGGACAACATCCGTAAAAAATCGAATAACTGATGTTTCGTTTTATTTTCTTCCAATGTTTATATCAATTTGACAATCGTCCATGCTTACAGTTAAAATAAAATAAATGTGGATAGTGTCCACATGTGGACACAGATGATGCCCCCGCTTGCATATCATATAGTTATAAAGGGACATAACTGAAGAACGGTAAAAGTGATGCTACCCAAATTTGAACTTGATCTGAGTTTTGTGGTAATAAGCATTGTGTGTAAGTCTCATAACATTTGGTTCAGGCTAACTTAAGTAGAGAACAGAAACTAAAAATTCAGCAATTTTTCTATTTGTAAACACGCATAACTCTAGAACGGTTGTGTATAACTTTTATAACATTTGGTTGAGACAAACTAAAGTTAGAGAACGGAAACGAAAAATTCAGCAATTTTTACGTTTATAAAGGGACATAACTCAAGAATGGTAAAAGTGTCGCCACCAAATTTCGTACTTAATCTGTATTATGTAGTAATAAGCATTGTGTATAAGTTTCATAACATTTGGTGGAGGCAAACTAAAGTTAGAAAACGGAAACAAAAAATTTGTACTTGATCTTCATGATCTTAGTTTTGTGGTAATGAATATATATATATATTGTGTATAGGTTTCATTATGTTTGGTTGGGGCAAACTTAAGTTACAGAATGGAAACTAAACATTTTGCAATCTTTGATTTATAAAATGGGCGTAACTCAATAATGCTTCAAGTGACACTACCCAAATTCAACTTGATCTGTGTTTTATCAGTGGAAGTCAAAATTAAACATTGCAATGTATAAAGCATTGATTGTAGTTGATTCAACTATAATCATGGACAAAGGAAGATTTAAATTTAAAAATTACTTGATATTTAGAAGAAAATAGAAATTTTGCAATTTTTCCATTTATAAAGGGGCATAACTCTAGAACGGTAAAAGTGACGCCACCAAAATTCAAACTTGATCTGTGTTTTGTGGTAATAAGCATTGTGTATAAGTTTCATAACATTTGGTTGAGGCAAACTAAAGTTAAAGAACGGAAACCAATTTTGGGACGTACGTACGTACGGACAGACAAGGGTAAAACTTAATGCCCCCTCCGCTACGGCGGGGGCATAAAAATAAATAAATTCTTTTAATGGATTACTGCATCATATTTTAATTGCTCATTTTAAAAGTTGACTTTTTGTCGACTTCGCATGGCTACGTTTCTATAGGTTTTACTTTTTGAAGTGAATACTTCATCTGTTGATATATACTGTGACCGTTTTGCGTATATTTAAATATAGTTAACTACACAAATGTATATTGAAACATGTGCATAATGTCAAATCATAAAAATACAAATTGTTTAGTCAGGTCAGGAATAACCATCAATTGGTGGATTATACTTCTATTCAGGTATAATCCACCATTTGACATATAATGAGATACACCAATTGAGGTATAATACAATACATACCAAGCTTTGAAGACCACTTAGGGATGACATTTTATTGATTCTGACACTTCAAGCTGCATTTTGTTAGAGAAAACCAAAACTAGTATGATCCTCCTTTTCTTCTTATAAATTCTGAGTTTTCATCTATTAAATTTTAATTTTGTTCTATAGTCTCTTGCTGTCCTTTCGACTATAACAAATCTTCAATTTGGAACTGATGCAGACTGAAGGAAACCAGTTGTGAATATCCACCAATTAGTGAATTATACCTCAATTAAGGTACATGTATTTATAATCCTAATTTTCACAAAACGCAGCACAGGAAGTCAGAAGCAATTACATATCACCAATGAGTACTCGTCAAAGCTGAAGATGGTATATGCAAAAAGATGCTCCAATATCTCTTTAAAAATGTTTGTGATAATAACTGCATTATACCTCAATTAACACTTCCTACTTAATTGTATGAGATACCATCAGGAAAGAGAAGAAAAGACAGTTGGAGATACAAAACATCCCAATAGATCTTCATACCCTACTAGCACCAGCAAAGAAAGAGACATACAAGAGAACAGCGGATATTTAAGGAGAATATTTAAAGAGTTCAGGGCGATTTCAAGACACACTTAGCCCTGGAGAATCCTGATCCTGCGCCTAAACAAATTAACCTAAGTAGTGTGACATTACTCGGTGAAACTATAGTACTTAGATGAAACAAGCCGTATCGGGTCCGTTCGCCCTAATTACATGTTCGCCCTGGGTCCGTTCGCCCATAGAGTCCGTTCGCCCTGGTCTGTTCACCCTATTTTTTATAAAAAAAATAATATAAATGGTTTAATTTAAAGTTTTGTAATCTTATTCAGATATTTAAATGGTAAATTAAAAATGTATATCTCCAAATTCATGAATAAACATTGAAATTAAAAAAAAAAAATTTGTTTTGGAGCATTAATCAGGCTAATTGGCTTCATTGTTACATTTGTTTTTATTCAGAATTACTTTTAATGACTGTTGATTGTAAATAAACTCATCATAGATACCAAGATTGAAATTTTGTACGCCAGACACACGTTTCGTCTACAAAAGACTCATCAGTGACGCTCGAATCAAAAAAGTTAATAAGGCCAAATAAAGCACGAAGTTGAAGAGCATTGAGGACCCAAAATTCCTAAAAGTTTTGCCAAATACAGCTAAGGTAATATATTTCTGAGGTGGAAAAGCCTTAGTATTCCAAAAATTCTAAGTTTTGTAATTTAGAATGCTGATTAGATATGATTACGATGTCTTTGATCTCACTGATTGTTGCAGTTATTGTTTTTGAAGGATTAATAATGAAATTATTTTTTTTTTAAATAAACAAGTCAGCTTGGAATGAGTTAAAACAATGATGTAAGAATTGTAAGACATTAAAGGGAAATTGTTTTCACTGCTAGGCTACTTTGATCTCAAGGTGTTGAGTGAGTTGGATCTTGTTATACCTGTTTGGATTGTTTTGAAATTGTTACAAGGTTTCAAAAGATAAATTTGTACAGATAACTTGGTTTCCAGTTCCTGAACACTTCTTCTTCCCCAAAATACTGTCAACATTCAACATGATGAATATTCTGACAAGAATAGTCAATGTAAACATGGTAAATCAAAAGAAAAATAATTATCTGGTAGCATCAATACAATATAAATATTTCAGCGGAATTTTCAACAAACTTTAACATAATTAATTCAAATAATTTATAGTTTACAAGACAACAAAATAAAATAGAAATCAGGGCGAATGGATTCAGTGCGAACAGGAATTAGGGTGAACGGACCCAGGGCGAACAGGTATTAGGGCAAACAGGTACTAGGGCAAACGCGAATCAGGGCGAACGGACCTGGATTCGAAACAAGCAAACGCAAAGCGACTAGTTGTGTCAACATATATATTGACCTTAGGATCAGGATCTCAATTAATGTATCTCATTATTATATTTACTGGAGTATACCTAGTCCAAATAATTATGACGTCTTGAAAGGCTATTTTAATTTTTTGCTGTGACGCCTTACTGCGACGTCGCAGTAATGGTTATTCCTGACCTGTTAGTCTCGGTGAGGACTTTTGAGATTTCCGTTGCAATTTTTGCTAAATGAGTGCAATTTGGGTACTGTGACGTTAAGTTTTATATATCTAGTGGATGTTCAACCATTAAATGTGTCCAACTGGCCTTGGAGTGATACTAACAGATTAGGAGATGAAAAACAATATTATAAAACGTGATATTATTTTGACAGGAAATAGGAAAACCGACACTAAAACCGGCAGTGTTACGGAACGGATATGCATGTTCCGTATTCAACGATACATTCTTTATAATGAGTAAAATTGAGAATGGAAATGGGGAATGTGTCAAAGAGACAACAATCCGACCATAGAACAGACAACAGCAGAAGGTCACCAACAGGTCTTCAATGCAGCGAGAAATTCCCGCACCCGGAGGCGTCCTTCAGCTGGCCCCTAAACAAATATATATACTAGTTCAGTGATAATGAACGCCATACTAAACTCCAAATTGTACACAAGAAACTAAAATTAAAAATAATACAAGACTGACAAAGGCTAGAGGCTCCTGACTTGGGACATGCGCAAAAATGCGGCGGGGTTAAACATGTTTATGAGATTCACTTGTTGTCGAGTATCGAATTGCGAGTTACAAATTTAACTGAGTCGAGTTGCGAGTTACAAAAGTGGAGTCATTTCGTAACTAGTCGATTCGTAACTTAACTAGGTCGTTTCGTACCTGAGACGTTTTGTAACCGTATATCAATATATAATAACAATAAGAGTAGTAGGTTACGTAAAAAGTAATAAAAAGACTTATTGATGTATGTATATATATATATATATATTTATTTATTAAATAATTGATTGCACATAAATTTACACTTTACTAGTACAGTTTTGCACACATGCGAATAGAACAGAAGAATTTGAATTGTCCATCATCATTTAGATGTACCACGTCTTTATCAAAGTATTTAGTCTTCTGCCACGTGCTTTGATGTCTCCGATACTTGACACCACTCATCTTTATGTTGCTTAATTAGTTCTTTATTTATCTTCTTTTTTTTCTATCATAAGTTGTTTCTCAGTTTCATGTTTCTTGATCAAGTTAGTATCCGAAGGTAAACTAAAAAGATATCAGCGTGTTCGGTATGATTTTTTGTAACAGCGGTATAGCTTATTGTAGAATAACGTCTTTCCAAATTAAAAAAAAATCCATATTATGATCTCCTATGCCAGGAAGTTGGCATATATATGCACTCTCCGCTTGGGGTTGAATCACAAAGTTAACAAAGTATAAAATTATTTAATTTATCACATAAAGTACATGGCATATCACATTTCTGACTAATTCATGAGATATCTTATATATATTAAGTTAAATGTGCAATTGTGCCTATATCATCCTAAACCTTTGCGAAAGACGAAGAGTTAGCACTTGGTATGCTAATGAATATCCTTTATTCAAGCGTCACTGATGAGTCTTGTATAGACGAAACGCCCGCCTGGCGTAGAAAATATTATAAGCCTGGTACCTTTGATAAGTATTTACTTTAGGCCTAACACAGTACCATATTCTGTGAGATGTCGATAATTTGCAAGTGTATTTCATTTGTCTACATGATTTATTTTCTTATGCTTGATTTGTTCAGTACGGTATACATTTTGTCTTATATCTACAGTATATCCTGTTTTATTTTAGAAAATTAACAATGTCGCTCTCATGAAAGAAATTTAAGCGTGCGTGACTTTGCAACATATCGACTCTTATAAATAAGTATCACATAACTCTTTCAAATCCTGCAATCAAAATACCGGGACCCTTCCTCATGCAGTGTATAACTAAGTTCAAGTACATGTATGCTTTGTTTATTAAATGTGAAAATTCTGTTTCAAAAATCAGACGACACGACCGTTTATATATATATAATTCTTAAGAAATTAAAGAAACATAATATTTTCGTAACTCGCAACTCGACTTTCGTAACTCGCAACTCGACTTTCGTAACTAGTAACTCGCAACTCGACTTTCGTAACTCGCAACTCGACTTTCGTAACTAGTAACTCGCAACTCGACTTTCGTAACTAGTAACTCGCAACTCGACTTTCGTAACTCGCAAATCGACTTTCGTAACTCGCAACTCGACTTTTGTAACTCGCAACTCGGCCTTTTCAACTCGCAACTTGCAACTAGACGATAAGAAACCCTCCTTTAGAATACGATACGAAAATATAATGTATAGGACTACTTAATATTAAAAATCCTTGGTATCATGGTTCTGAGACCACTATACCACTGTTATAGTAGTCTCAGCATGGTTGTATTCAATATCGCGATGGAGCTCTGGGTATTTTCATCATAATATAACCAAGATATAATAGTATTTATGTACTCACAGGCACTTATCTCTGAAAAAAAATTCCTATATACCTTAATATAACACGTGTTATATTAAGGTATATAGGAATTTTTTGTTCAAAAACTAGTGCTTGTGTATGTACTGCCGAAATTACCCACATGAACTTACCTTAAATAAATCAAATATTAACAGCAATACGTGTCCTTTCCTAGATTTAGACATTTCAGTTCTACACCAGAAACTTTACGACAAAATGGATGACTTTTATTTCCCTATTGTTAATTTTCCTTTTTTCGGACGGTGATGTTCCTCTGGCACCGTCTTATGGTGTTTATATATCCCAACTCGTTCGCTATGCCCGTGTCTTTAGCGACGTTTTGGATTTCAATAAGCGTACGTAATCTATGTATTACTGGTAATTTATTAAGTCAGGAATCTCGTTACCACAAATAACTTAAAACCTTTACTAAGTTCTTCCATAGATACAAAGATTTGGTTTGCAAGTTTAGCTGTACCTGAAAAAAAACTTATTTCAGACAGAATAGCACATCCTAAATTTTACGGTGATGTTTTTACGGAGCCCGGAAATTTATATACCATCCGGGTAAACTTATCAATCTATTCTAAAAGGTTACCAATTCATCACTGTAATAAGATATTTGAATATTGTTTTTTATCGGTATAAATATTGATTTTGTTATCATGCAGTAAATTAAAGGCAAACTAAATATTATTGTTATACACAATTTGTACATTCACGATCCTAAAATCTGTCGATACCTATATATTTTGGCATCGCTCAAAGTCATGTTCTTCTCTGACTGTAAATGACGTCTTCTACTAAATCCATTGGATGTTGGATGTGTACAAATTGATATTTTAGTCTTAGGCACATGACTTTTTATTAGTTGTTATTGGCTTTGAACTAGCTTTCAGTAATCTCATATCTGTAATGTGTGTCTTTTGGGTTTTTATGTGCTTTTTATCTATCTGATAAGTTAAGCCCCTTTCAACTGAGTTTTATATGAAAATAAGGAGATGTGGTATGATTGCCAATGAGACAACTATCCGTCAAAGTTCAAATGAAATGGATGTAGACAATTATAGGCAACCGTACGACCAACAACAATGAGAAAAACCCATACCGTATAGTCGGCTATAAAAGGCCCCGAAATGAAAAATATGAAACAATTCAACTGAGAAAACTAACGGCCTAATTTATAACAAAACAATTTACGAAAAACAAATATGACAGACATAAACCAACAACAACTGTTGCAAAAGGCATGACTCAATGGATTTTTCCGAGGCACAAAACAAGTAACATTAACACTAAGCAAGGTTCAGATAAATAACTGTTTTGTGTTTTCTATCATGTCTATACACGACAAAATGAATAAAACAGTTATTTTTCTCCCGAATTGCACCGATTGTAAGCTTGATTTTACTTCTAATA